AAATCTTTTTCTTGTGTCTTTTAACTTCGAACAATAACAACATTTAGCATAAACAATAATAACATTTATTCAATTAACTGTCCTTTAACTTGAAATTGCAAACAATACCAATCACTTTGCAACTAATCGATTAGATTATTCAAATTTCTACTACTTCAACAATGTTGATCTCATTGTCCATTTCTAAAGCTGCTATTTGAGTTGCCTTCTTCTTTTGCTATGGTTTCACCGCCGATTGAGCTTGAAGCAACTCGTGGTATTCGGTCGTGATAAACTTACCACTAACCGTCAACGTCTTCCTTGTCACATTTTTTCGCTTCTTCTCAGGTGGCAAAAGTAACAACTGGGTACGAACCAAATCGATACGTTGCAGCCACGATGCTTGCACTGCTTCGTCGTCCACTTCGGCAGGTTTAAAAATCGACAGCCGATACAGCATCTGGTCCAACGACGGGGGACATAACCCAGTGCACACAAAGCCGTTGGTAATTGCTGCTTGACTTGTATCTTGAGCCCAAACGTCACACGCGATCTTGATTGCGTTCTGCTTGCTGATCTTGGAGCTGACATCAGTCCAACAGTGGTCAGCGATTTGGTTTCAGATGGCTTGTTTGAAAGGTCGAAAAACAGTCACATCCAGGGGCTGGAATAGATGGGTCGCGTTGGATGGTAAGAATTGCAGCAAAATCACCAATGATGTGGCAACGTCGTAAATGTACTTGGAGTAGTGTAACGAGCACCCGTCAACAATCAACAAAACTGGCAGCGCGACAGACGATGGGATACCCGCGCTGAGCATGGACATCCATTTACGACAAATGAACGAGTTTCTCCATCCCTTGTCCGATGTCGTAATGGTGGCTCCAGGAATAGTCAGACTGTCACACGCGACAGCTCCCAGTAGAAAGCCTCAACTGTCGACTTGTCAACCGCATTTCGCGGCTTACTGAGGGTCTGGGCTTTCAGGGTCTTTGGAGGAATCGTTTGTACCATCCACTTGTTTGGTTCGTTCCGTTCGTTGTATCATGCACGTCAACAAGAATCTCGTTTGCTTTCTCTACGATTTCACGATAACCGACAGGCTTCGCATCGCACTCCATGCCGACAATCCAAGTAGCCAGATCTTCTTCGTACTGCCGCGGTAGGATACGTGCTCGACCGAAAGATGCTGGTATTTTGATGACGCCGGGATGAGCTTTTGCCAAATGCTTCCGAAGCGTCCGCGATAGAATGCCATAGGCCACGGCAGCAGTTGATGCCGTGTGTACTTTGCTTAACATATCGTGGAGGCCTTGTCCATCGTGACCTGCGTGTATGGCGTTCTTGGGGGCATTTCGTCGGTTCAAAATTTGAAAGAACCTTTAATATGTCATATTTTTCCCTCCATTTATTCATGCAGGTTAAATTTGTCGAGAGGTTGCCTTTTGTCCCATCAGAGTTGATTGGCGTATTAATTGGATGAAATAAGTTGGCCCATCAATGGTCGTTCGGCCCATCAATGGTCGGACACGTTACATTCCAAAGGTATCAGGTGATATCGCGGCGTTCTTGGGGTGTCAAGTTCCTTTTCGTTGCAACAGGTTGAGGTATATTGGAGATGGGCTTGATGAGTTAAAATCGGTTTTCCCGCTCTAAGTTGGTCAATTGCTCCATTCAAGCGCCAAACGATACTTGTAGGGCCAATCAAGGCCGACACACTGATTTCGAGGGAAACGGAGCATTATTGCATGCGTTACAGCGAAAATACTGAATCGGTTTCATACGCCAAATATTTTTTTAATGTTTGGTGTACAATACTTATTGTTCGTATGGTATAGTTTGAATATATGATTTTTCAAATCTGCCATTTGTGATCAATTGCCTTGTTTGAGTACGGTGATTTTGGCACCCACAGGTTTTATATTAAGATTTGTATCAAACTTTATGCTGCGAAAAATGTAGGACGCAATGCTCAGAATTAAGCGAAATCACACAAGTTACAACTGCAAAACCCTCCGCTATCACCTGATACCTTTGGAATGTATTATTTTTTGTAATATCTCACGGAGTTTTAGTAATGATTCCTAAAACTCCGTGAGATATTACAAAAAATATCAAATCAATCAATCATTTTCGTAAGGAGGTAGTACTACGCAGTAGTTAGTCGCAGTACATGTAATACCAGTACATCCTGATTCACATCCTGGGCTGGGGAAAAAATAATTGTAATTTAAATCAATCGCAATTGTACCACTGCAATAATTTATCATCTGTCCATGCTGAAAAACAATAATTTATTTTCGACAGTTCGATCACCAGCACCAATAATAAATTGGTGAACCATATTGCACCAATAATAAATTGGTGAACCATATTGACCAATAATTGTTTAATTGTATTCAACCTCCTCACTTCTCATTACTATGATG